TTAGAACAAGGACATGTTATCTCATAACAATCACTTTTTTGTCACAGATTTAGACTCATTTGATGCGATCGGGTAATGATCCCTTCTACTGTGAAAATCACTCTCTTTCGTCGTGATCTCTCTTTTTTAAACTAGTCTTCCTCCTTTTGGTGTAAAGGGGAGGAAAATTTAGTCTTCATTCACATCCTTCGACTTTATAAAGTGTGGCTCAACATTGAAATGGATCCACATCAGTAAAAAATTAGAACAAAATTCTGATGTTTTTTTTTTTTTCTAGATTTGTGGATTTTTCTTTCATTTGGGCGACGAAGTCCTTTACTTGGGCTTGTTGTGGTCATAATAAACGAGATTGTCGGCCTAAAATCAGAGCATTTTGCAACTCTTTTTACCAATTAAGACCGACCCAACTTGTATGGGCTTCTCCTTGTGCTGCTTCTGGATCCCAAAAGTCCAGTCCTGCTCCTTCTTCCGCAACTCTTTTTATCAAAAATGGATCTTCCAGTACGTGACCCTGAGTTGTCGGCCCAGTACATGCCACGTGATGTGCTTAGCTCTTGTTGCGTGCATGAGTGATCTGTTCCCGGTCCGGGTCGGTCCCGCCCCAGAACCAGGGACTAGACTGGAGGTCCCTGGCCATCCGGTTCAGTCTAGTCCCCGGGCGATCCAATGGAACCAGTCAAAATGATCCTTGTCCGATATTGTCATAATAATGAACTTGATTCAAATAGAAGTTGAGTAGTAAATATGAAAATTTGCCCAACGTTGAATGACCAGTCATATGATGGTGGTGTGCATATGTGTTTTGCGAAAGTTGCTTCTCTCTCTCTACCTTCTTCTACTGTTTCCATCTCCACCCAAACAGGGACTTCAAAATCTAAAAAGCTTACTAAAGTTTTCTTATCCTACGCACCTTCCCAATTTCAAAGTGGAATTTCCTATGAATCTGATATTTTGGAGGCGTGGCCGCGTGAGCATCGTGGCTCGTGGGGCGAAAGGGAAAGACGAAAGGCGTGCCACGTGCGAGATTTTAGATTTAGGTTTACATTAAAAAAAATAACAATCGGTCTGATTTGGTTAATTGGAGGTAGGTTTCCACTTTTAGGAAAGAGAATGCAACTAAGAATCGGTCCGATTTGTCCGGTCCCGGTCGGTCCGTCTTGCTCACCCCTAGTTCCGTGCTTAATTTGTCCTCACGGATGTTACAAATTCGAGCCATATTGTGATCAATAATCGATTGACGAGTTTGTGTTGGAAATATGGGATAAATTGATGGGTGAATGAATGAGAAATTGATGCTCAAAGAACACCCTTGAGTTGGAAGTGGGAAGTGGAAAACACTATTCCCACATCGGAAATGAAAGAAGGCTATGGAGTGCTTTATATACGCTACACTTATTTGAAGTGGTAATTATCATAGCACAAACTCTCTCGCTCAGTAGCAAGCAGCGCAGGGGTGCAAATCGACGCCCGACAAGTTGAAACTTGGGCGCGAGCGCACATCCCGCGTACACGATTGCAGGACCGAAAAGTGGGCCTCGCGACTTCGTTATTCGTATTGATCTTATAACATTGTTTGTAATATTTATGCTAATGCCGATTTGAATTTTGTAACAGTTTGTACTCTCGAACATTGCTATCTTGATCACTTTTCACCTTTCCGTTTCTTCTTCAAAAGCAGACTAAGGATAACCTCATGATCATACAAGTGTTATCTGCAGAGATGACAGTCCCTGATGCATGTGTACTCCTACATGGTGGCTATCTATTAATGAAGAAATTATCGGTATATATAGGTTGTGTGCGCTTTAAATTGCATGATGGTTTTATTTTTAGCAACTAACAAATCGTTATTAGCGTTATGGACATGAGATTTTTAGAAAGTTTTACATGCCGAACGTATCAAAAAATAAATCCTATATTGACATGACACGAGGTTTACACACCTATGTGTCATTTGTACCTGAGCACATCTTCATCATACTCCTTTTGCGATAACAGACACCGCCATCTTTACTATTTATATCTACCTACTCTCCAAACTTACAAGAAAGGGATACGTTTTAGGCCTTTTGAAGGTGGTGTGTTTGACTCTATAAGTGAGCTTCCCTGCCATATCTCTTTTGTCAATAAGAAGGGCACATGGGTCATGTCGTGTCTTCATATATCTTCTTGCTGCTCTCTTTCCTTCTTTGTAAGGCATGGCCACAAGCATTTGCTTCCCCAGGATATGCTCGGTCTATATCCATTGTCCTATGATGATCCTCTAGGAGATTTCGCAATTGCATTGTATGCGCCTTATGCATGTTTTATTTCTACTTCTCCGAAGCTGGGTGTGCAACTTTCAAGCATCTCAGTAATTTCGATCCCCATCTAGGAAATTGCAGATCTAGCTTGGGGCGCATGGCCATCTTTGGTCCATGCTGTCATAGCTTGCTTGAAGAAAGATCACACTCGCGAGAAATTTCTAGCACAAACTGATGATCGTTCTGTACTTTTGGCGCTTTCTTATTTTTGTTCGATTTGCAATGTAAAACGAGAAAGATTTATTGGGTCGTGGACTCCTGTCACATTTGTAGATTTCTCTCGCGTTGCAAATCAACTAGCTAGAATACAGTACTCCAGTAATAACTTAGGGTGGTCCATGAACATAGTGGGTGTTATTTGGACCCTATCTTCCCACCCAACCCTAAAGCACCTTTGGAAGGATCGTCCAGCAAACGATATCTCGGTGATTAAGCAAACGAACCTTTCTTACAACTACCCATCTCTGATTTCTGAAAGATGCCCATAAGAGGAAATTGCCCATGTGTAGGTTTAAGCTGCTATATATGGTGCATTAACCAAAATTTAACGCAGTAATGGCCTCTTCTTGACAATTATGAACGTAATAAATGTTTGTCAGGTAGCTGACGGAGTTTATGAATTACTAATATTCCGACGCAAATGGTCGAATTATTACGGGACGAAGTACGCATTGATTCGACAGCAACGCCTAAAGTGGTAATCCCAATCCCATTTTCCTTATTCTGGGATTGTCACTTGCTACCATATAGAGGTCTTTCTTTAGGCCTGTGCTTGATTTTGATGGAAATCAGTACATGATTACGTAGCTTCTAATTGGTTATGTTAATGTTTACTGGACAGTGGGATAAGGTAGAAGTTGCAGAGCATGTGAGCGTTGCACGGATCTGATGAATGCGACACGCAATTAGGCAGTGGCAGCTCATGACTCTCTTTATTTGGTTCAGAGAGGACGCAAGTTCAGCTTTTCTCAAGGCCTCGCATTAAACTCGTGGATGGTCCCTGTTCTTTTTCTGGAACCAAGAAACCAGGTCATTGACTGACTAATTCTAGATCTCAATGCGAACCAAATTAATAAAAATGAATCAGGGGTACGAGGTGCCCTGACTCATGTCGCTCATGAATGGTAAATGCACCTAAATTCCGAAAAAATTCAAGAAACTCTTGGAAAACAGAGACGATGCGTCGCATGGTACAATCCGTTGTTTTTCTTTTCATTTACTGGTACGTCGTGCGTGCGTTCTCCTAGAGATTTGCTACGTAACATGGGGTTCTAGAAATTTAATTTGCTGCTATGACAGCTAATAGATCCCAGTTTGACGCTACATTGAGGACTTGGTCCCTTGACTTGTAATGTTCTTCTGCACATCTTGTTCATCAAGAATTATTTTAAAGTATCTGAATTGTGTTTTGAATGAGCTTATATTCACCTTAATTATGAGAGAAATTGAGACAGAAAGTACCGAGGAACAAGCATCACGTGAACGATGAGCATGCCACGAATCTAGAAATACTAAATCTGTCCGAGCCCTTGGTTCCTGAATGATGCTATATTGTATCATTTGTTAGCTAAACCGCATATAGGTTGTAGTCTTATAGAAATAGTTGTAGCTGGTTTGCCACTTGTAAGTCATAGCCTATAAGCATAAGCAACCTATGTGGATGCAATGAACAAAGGACTCATAAATTTTTTCATTTTCTGGTTTCTGGGGTTCCTTTCTTGAGCTTTTGGCTGCAGAGCTGCTTGCGACTTGGGGAGACAGCTGGGTTGCCCTTCCATAATCTGATTGCTGAAGTTTCATGCCTTGTTGTGTTCCTCAAGGACAGAGAGATGGGGATGGACCCAAGATCTTTATTTTGTTGCTCCAGTGAATGACAATCATTTTCAGTAGTGCATGGCTCCTGCACTTCCCGAGTGAATGATTGATTGATTGCCATTTCTAGTTCAGAGATTGTGGGGTGCTCCGGCTCGTGCTCGGTAAACGACAAAGCCGTACCTCTGCCAAAAAGCAACCGTTCATCGCCTAACTTGCCTGAATCATTCGTCCCCAGCGAAAAATCTGTGATCCTGGCTACTTCTTTGTTGCACAATCTTGTTAATTTTTCCTTTTTTTCACATTCTGGTGTAGCGGATAGCGATTTAGCAAGACTCTCCACTCGACTGCACTTATGTTTCGGCTTAGCTGGGTTTGATCTTATGGCATTTGAGATTTAACGAGATGGGATTCGCGCATTTGGGTAGTTCTTGGGACAGTTTAATTTCTAGTATCAATGCATTAATCTTGACGGAGACAAAAGGCAAGGCAAATTTTAGACATTCTTGTTCGGGTGCATTATGTAGAGTCAACCCAAGAAGGCAAGAACAATGTGGACTGTAGTATTGATGTAGATGTGTTGTCTCTTAGGAGACTCGAGAAATTGCAAACCGTCGAGACTTCCAGACATTTCTCTTCGCTTTCGGGAAGCTGACACCAAATTAAACAATGGGTTTGCTGATCAAGATCTCAGATTCCCTCCTGATTCTCAGGTTAAAAAAGAGGTTTTGTCTCTGCTTTTTCAATGCGTTTCTCGTTTCGAAGTTTTTTGATGGAACCAAGGCAAGACGAAAGACAACGGAAGCTCTTCTCCGTCCAGAGCACACGAGAGGGGAAACATGCAAAAGCAGAATTGACAAGCTTGGTCACGGACAATACTGATGGTTACATCAAAATCACCAGCTCATCAGATAGATTAATTAAAGACATGAAAGAACCACCCCAAGTCATTTGCTAAGCTAAGGCTAGAGCCTCACGATCCTCCTCCAGTTCAACCGCAGAGCAGAAAACTGCTGCTTCTTGAACATGCAGAGAAGGAACTTTCAGGGACGCCCAACAGGTTAAAAGAAGAGACAGACCCCATTCCCCTCGAATTACTGGTACAGGACCAGACGCCGACCGCAGAGAGTGCAGAGATATTTGCGCTTGACGTGAAAGCAAACGGGCAAGAGGCAGAGTCTCCAGTGGCTCTCGACGTCGACGGCCTCCACTTTGCCTCCGCAGTGTGGGCACGATCCGGAAGCTTGCTGCCTTCCCAGTTCCTTCTCCTCTTCGTCGCATATGAACACCACGCGCATTTCTTCTTCCTCTTCTTCTTCTTCTTCTTCAAATGGGTCTGGTCTGATCCGGTCTGAGCTTTTTATATACAATGCAGAAAGGTTAGATGAAGCGAAGTTGGAAAAGCGAAGGGGTGAATTCAACAAAGGGGAACGAACGCCTTGACAAGACTCGGGCAGAGCGGCTTATATAGGGGTAGGTCGGAATTGAGATTAGAGGGTGTGAAAGCGATGGTATATTCTGCGGATCAAGTTAAGCTTTGGACGATTACGGGGAATTCTTAATTTAATGAATGAATCTTAACTTTCATTACCTCTTAACCCGGGAATTCCTTAGAATTTTTTGTGTTCGGTTAAGAGAAAATCTCACCAAATAAATGGAGTTTTTGCTTCTATGAGAACTTGCACGACTTGTCCCATTCAATAAAGCAGGCTCTACAAATGTGTTTTTTTTATGTTAATGTGTCAATACCCACATGCCTCACATTTTCAAGTCCCCTATATCTTTATCTTTTCTAATATCTTATGAAAGTTTTACGTCTCGATAATCTCGAGACTCGGACAAGGATCGAGATGAAGCCTCATCTGCTCAAGTCCAATAGCGGCTTATACAGGGGTAGGTTGGATTGGGAGATTAGAGGGGGGCGAAAGTAATAGGATATTCCACGGATCAAGCTAAGCTTTTGACGATCTTGGGGTAATTATTAATTTAATTTAAAGAATGAATCTTAACTTTCACCTTGCTTGTTTTATCAGCCTTCATTTTCCCTCGGACTAATTCACACGCCGTTGTGCCTTCGCAAAAGGGTTGGAAAATTATTAAGATGACATGACGAGTCAAATAGTAGGGGTGAGCAACTTGGACCGCCCAAACCGGGACCGGACCGGACCGGACCGGACCGACGAGTTTGGTCCGGTTCTCGGGACTATCGGTCCGGTTCCCGGTTCCTAAAAGCGGAACCGGTTTCCGGGCGGTCCGGTTCCCGGTTCCAAGGGGGAACCGGACCGGACCGGACCGACTATTTAATATATATTTTTGTTATTTTTTTCTTTAAAAAAATAATAAAATGTGAACTAAACTCTAAGTGAACTTCATTATCATAAATTCATTGATAAAAAATAGTAAAATGCGAATTAAACCCTAAGTGAACTTCATTGACATAAATTTATTGACAAAAATTAGTAAAATGTGAACTAAACCTTAAGTGTTTGACCAAAAAAAAAACCCTAAACTCTAAGTAACCGATTCCATTGGACCGGACCGGAACCGGACCGGACCGACGGTCCGGTCCGGTTCCTGGTCCTAGAACCAATCGGTCCGGTCCGTGGTTCCCAAAATTGGGAACCGGTTCTCTCGGTCCGGTTCCCGGTTCCACCTTGGAACCGGACCGGACCGGGAACCGCTCACCCCTATCAAATAGTCAAAAGTGAAGATGATTTTGGCGAATTTCCCTGGTAATTATGAATTAAATCTGGGCAAACCCCCCTCCCAAAAAAAGGACTAATTTTTGTAAATTTATTTCATAGAAGACAATGGTAATTTTTCTCCCGGAAAACGACGGTTTAAATTCGATTGGAGTATTTTCAGATGCATCGTAGCCCTTGTCTATAAGTTGGCGAACTATTATTTGCGATTCGATGGTTGGTGAAGTCGCACTCAATCGTCCTAGGAGGGAAGGACCACCATGACTGCATTAATTGAGGTATAAATGGAGAAAACATAAGTTGGATACATCGCATTTCATCCAATTCCATCAATATAGTGACTCCGCATCCTTTCTTGCACAAGCATTCAGAATTCAAAGATAAATCTCGTAACCAATACTATTATTTGCGATTCGGTGGTTGGTTAAGTAGCCCCGATTAGCAAAGGACCAGAGAACTCAAATGTCCTAGGCTGAAGGACCACCATGACTAACATTAATTGAAGTGCAAATGGAGGAGACAAACATAAGTTGGATATATCGCATTTCATGCAATTTCATTAATACCGTGAATCCGCATCCTTTCTTGCACTAGCATTCCCTACAAGTCTTTTTGAGGATCGGATACTCAAACGTTCACAGAATTCGGACATAAATCTCGTAACCAGTCTGGCCATTCGTAATCTCGTGTGAAAAAGTCCTATCACATGAGCTAGGTAGAGAGATTTTTGAGATACGGGACAGTAAAAGTAGCTATATTTTTAGAGTCGGACAGAATATGATATTCAAGAGGGAAAATGACATAAAAGGTTCATGAACTTTGACCCAATGTGCAATATGGTCCATGAATTTTTAATTTGCTCAATGCGGTCCCTGAACTTTTAGTACATGTTTTAAACTAGTCCCTAAGCTATATAAAAATGTTCAATGTGATCCTTAAACTTTTGATACGTATTCAAACTAGTCCATAGAATTTATAAAAATTGTTCGATATTGTCATTTCATTAATTTTAGTTCATGGACAATATTGAATATTTTAAAATTGTCAAAGACAGTTTAGGAACTGTTTTCAACATATATACAAAATTTAGGGATTACATTGAACATATTGGAAGTTCAGAGATCGCATTAAACATTGAACAAATTAGAAATTCAGAAATTACACAATCAAAATTAATCGGCTATTTATGTCATTATCTCCGGTCGTGGATAAAACAAATGATGAATGGGAAATGACGGTGAAACACGAGGGGGGAGGAAGTGAAATTTGGAAAGGAAACGCCAGGTCGGAAGAGAGCGGGGCAGTTATGTCTCAACCCAGCGCCCCACGGTCGAATCTGCGCTGTCACTTCTTCGTCTCCCTCATCTGTTCCCCCCAATTGTCAAATCCAGACCAGAAAAAAACTAGAAGAAAAGAAAAAGATCGTGTCGCACTAGCACTAGCAAGCACGATTAAAAGTCGATCGAGCTGACGTGGCTACACGAGGTCTAGCCCCCAATTTTTTGCTATTATTATTTTTTTTAATTCTCGAGCGCACGAATTAACTTTGGAAGTCGTTCGGATCGGGCGCACGACGGCGTCTCGGCGCGCGACACGTAAGCGCCATGACCCGCAGAAAGGCTAACGTTCGTTCGGCCCACCGAGAGCGACATTTGTTTCGTTCGGGTCTCCTTCAGCCCGTTGACGATGGGATTCCCAGCGCTGTTTGTTTGCCCGGGCGGTCCCAGATACTTCGGCGCACGCCCATGGGTTCCCCAAGGGAGAGCCTCTCTAACGTGCGCGCGGGGATGGACAGTGCGCACCCCCCCCACGTCAGCGCCTACGCAGGTAAAGGTTCCCGCGGCATTAGAAAATGGGCAGGTTAAAGAACTGACGATCAGTCGGTTGTCTTCCCCACTAGCTTCCCAGACCCCGATGTTTGAATTTCTTAATGCCACGTGTAGAATGCGTAAACTTATTTTCTCCAAGATGGAATCCAAGAGATTTGTTTCTTTCGATTTGCACCTATGTTAACATGCATAGATACAACTTGAATACCCGATTCGAAAGTGCTTACTTATTTACGAGGAAGGAACGATTTATTTCTACGCCCAATGAAAATTACCGAAAAAATCATAAATTCATTATACGAATATTAATTCGGTGCGAAACATTTTAAGTTGGTCAATTTACTTTTCAACCTTTTGATAATTTATCAATTTAGTCCTTTTGGCCGCGGATCACTAACGTCGATGCCGGCCAGCGCTGACGTGGATATCTTTATAATTTTAAAATAATTTTTTAATAAATTTGTTCTTTATTTCAATTGTGTTCGATGGGGTCGCCACCCACAATGAAAAATGAAATAGAAAATAAAATGAAAAATAAAAAATAATAAAAAATTCAATTTTTTTTTTCTAAAATTGCAAAATTATTCATGTCAGTGCCTGCCATTTTACGTGACACAGACAATATCCATGTAGGCGATTTATTGTCAAAATAGGTCGAAAGGACTAAATTGGAGAATTGTCAAAAGGTTGAGAGTTAAATTGATCAAATTAAAGCATTTAGAACTAAATTGATATTAGTAAAATATGTTTATAACTTTTTTGGTAATTTTTCAAGACCTACGGAAGAAAGAAAGTATATACCCAGAGAGAAGAGGGGGGGGGGGGGGGGGGGAAGGTGTTGCGTTTTTTCAAAGCACGAACACCTAATTTATGATATTGACAAACGATGATTGCTAATGATTACCCAAAATGCACGCATGCATGCATCCACGTGATAAACCCATGTACAAGTTTTCTCATCGACGACACAGACTTCCGCAAGCTCCGCGGTACGACCGCGAGACACCGTCATCCCTTTATTAGCCATGTTGACAAACGATGCTTTCTTGACCTGACTACCGTTTCCTAAACATGTGGTTCGGGAGTGTAACATGCAAAACATGCCGAAATTGAGGATTCTTTTTGGTTTCTTTTTTTTTTTAACGCGTTAAGGCTGACTAATGACCATCTCTTACTTTCGGTCTACCGATCTTGGCAGACGCTCGTGATGTCATGTGCTCGCTGCTCGGTAGCCCGTCAAAGCACGTCGGCTTCGTTCCTGGTTCCTGGCTAACTTCTCCTCGTTTTCTACTCGTTTTCTATTGTTAGTCAATCACACGCCCCAGTGACGATCGAAAGAGAACGTTCCATGAATATGGGAGTCGGTATGGGCCGGGCCCACGGACCAGGCCCGGCCGTGCGATCGCGCGAACCGATTTGCTAAGGCTGCTGTTGCGTGGGCCGTATCTGGGCCCGAGTGGCATGGGCCTTCCAACAAGCCCGCTAATCGATGGGCCGGGCCTCTTCGGGGGCCCAACTCCGCGTCGGTAAAATGAAGAGAATATTCCTTCTCATCGCCAAGCTGTCCAAGCTTCGTTCGGATCCTCTATGACCTCGGATCCGACTTGAATTACGAAGCGGAGCGCAATTTCGCCTTTTGCCAGGCTGCCAGCTTGTCCACCGCCTCGTCCTCCCCCACGCCCGAAGTTGCCTTTTTGTTTGCGTTCGTGTCTTCTGCGTCTCTGCTCTGGCCAATTCAATTGTCTTCGCTTCGCTTTCATCAATCTCCTCGCTCGTTTCTCGTCCTCACTCGCCGGAGTTGCCGCCCTTCGTCGTCGTTCCCGCCCCCCGCCGCCGCCGTCGTCGTCGGGCGAACGGAGACACCCCGCCTTCCAGCTTCGTCTGCTGCTGTCTTCCCTCCCCCCCGGATCACATCACAT